GTTGTTGTCGAAAAGATAGACGTTTAGACATTGTAACTTCAGCTCTTTTGCATTCCTCAAGGAGGTCATCGATTGAATCTATGTTTTTGGCATAAATTAGTTGAACTAATCCGTCTTTGAGATTGTCTTTTATGATTCTCACAATCTCAAATTCGGGTATAGGTATTCTCATTTGATTTTTGAGACGAACAATTTCCGATATGTAGATGTCAGCAGTTTCCGATGGAAGCTGTCGACGCTCTATTATTTTTCGTTGTATTTCGAAATCACTTTCGAAATTTCGAAATTTTTTTATGAAGTGGTATTTTAAATGATCCCATTCGCATACTGGGTTTTGTTGTCTAAATAACCAGAGCCATTCTGATGCTCTACCAGTGAGTAAATGGTGAAATCCTTTCACGAAAATGTCTAAAGGACAGTTATAGTCTAACCTTAAAGACTCGACCCTAAATACGAATTCTTCCACACTGATGGACTTAGAAGAACCATCAAATTTCAATCCCCACTTTTGAAGTTGTAGTGGTGTTATTGATTTATAACCAAGAGGAAAATTCTGAGAATATGGTTCCCTAATTGTTTGTGGATTGTAATGTTGATTAGGTTGTTGTTGGAAATGTGTGTTCTGCTGTTGCGCATTTTGAGAAAATATCTCCGGTCTTATTGGATCAGGAGTAATATTTAATGACATATTTCTTAGTGAGTCAATTGAGTTTCTCACTACTTGAGGTATCATTAATGCAAGACGATCTTCCATATTTTTCATTGCTTCAGATTGAGCAATTCTTACAGATGCGCTAATAAATTCTCTGAGACTTGGACCATCGTTGCTATTTATTGGTACTTCTAAATTTATATTATTATTAGAACTTGGCATAGCCGTGTTTATGTCAGTATTTCTTGTTGTTTCCTGGCCTGTTAAACTACTGTATGGTGGTCTTGTAATTGATGTACTAGTTTCAGGTGATGATGTATGTACACCAGTAGGTAAAGATGTAATGATTGACATAAGTGGTGGAATACCTGCTTCAACCACAGTTCTATCTGCACCTTGTGCTGAAGTATTAGAAATATTCATATTGTTACGATTGCTGATAGGTGTATTAGAAGTTGTAATATTGGTTAAAGTATTGGGATTTATGAGATTGGCGTTAGTTAGTATTGCAGCATTAGATGTGCTTGCAACATCAATATTAGTGCCGCTCGCAATAGGTGTATTTTTGTTTGCCAATCTGCTAGAAGTTCTGGTTTGACTTGGGTTTTTGTTGGCCATAATGATTTCATGTTAGAAAATTATATGTATATCATGCAAGAAAACAGATAAAAGGATAAAAAAAATTGTTGAAATGTAGTATTATAATATTTGAAGTTAAATGACTATATTAGAAGTTATGACTTAATATTTGTATAATTGTTTGATATGTTTACGTATATATATTAATATAATAATTGTTTTTTTTTTTGTATTTTTAAATATTAATAACGTATTTTTTTCTTTCAGGTAAATATTTCTGGTTTTTTTTTTATAACTTATGTATTTTATAATATTCGAGTTGTTTATTTTTCTGTTTACTTATTTGTCTAATTTTGATTGAATTTTAATATTTTAATTTATTATATATATATCCACATTTATTTTTATTTTCTTAATATAAATATATAATGTTTTTAAGTAATTATATTTTTGGGGAATTTTTTTTTAATAAATTTAAATTAAATAATAAATGTGTTTATATATAGTTTACATGTATTGTTTCTTATTTATATAATTTTTTTGATTGTATTTTTTTCGTATTGTTATTTATAATTCAATTTATTTTAACAAAATCACATATATGTATTTATAATTATAAATTTTCAATTCATTCAGTATTTATATTATATTATTAATAAAAATAAATTATATTAATAATTCAAGACAATATAAATGTGTTTTTGTTTTTCAATATAAATTGATTATAGAATTTGTAATTTTTTATAATATTTCTAGATAAATTTAATATCTCTAAAATATATTTTTTTAAATAATGAACATTGTATGACAATCATTTAATAATAAATTTTATTGTTCGATAATAATTTGTTTTATTCTTTTTATGTTAATTTTTTTGAATATTTAGGTTGAATATATTTTATCAGGTAGTGATTTTTTTATAATAAGTATGTTTATCTAAGAATTCTGTAAAACAATTTAATGGATTTTCAAAATTTTACTAATTTCTAATTATAATTAGAAATTTAAAATAACAGAAAAATTGAATTGTTTTTGAAATATTTTAAATTATGTTTACATTATTTATAAACATATAAAATAAAGTATTTATTTTAAATTGGATGTTATTTGTTTCTTTGTTTTGGCTAGAGTATTTTGTAGGCAAGTATAAGTATACAATTTGGGACAAAAATAAGTTAATTGTTATAAAAAACTTTCGAAGTCAATGATTTCTGCTTTCAAAAGAAAAAAAAGAACGTATAATACCAAGCTGTATAGCCTCTGATTATGTTTCTTTATTTTTATGATTGCTTATTCATTTCGTTCGATTGTAGACTTGTGGAATTGATTGTAACTGAGCACCTGTACAACACGGCATGGCTATGAAAATGCCTTCCGGGATACCGATGTGTAGAATACAATGGGTTAAGTGAAGTAGGTACATGGTGGTAGGCTGCGGCTTAGCTCGCCGGATAGGGGAGTTCTTTATCCACTTGACAGCACACTTAAATTTGTGTACCTCTGATTATTTTGTAACTGTCATCATAGTTTGTATTATGAAAAAAGGGAAAACAATAAAATAAGAAGAAATGGATGTACACATATATCTGCCTTAGCCTTTCAATTTAAAATAAACACAAGGTAGAATTCCAGTTTGAATGAGGTTCTGATGTTACACCTCTTTGGCTTTGCCCACCCCTCATATACATTTTTCAGTATACCTTGGTGTTTCTGTCGCCAAAAATTCTGTAGAAACACCCCAAAAACGATTATCACTACCCTAATAAATTACTCAACCCATTTTAAATAAAAATTTAAATTTCCATTTTTAAGTTATTTAAAATGTTCATATATTATTAATCTTTAGCAAATATACTACACATTATTTATAATAATGTTTTGATCATAGTAATTTTACCTTAATTTATTTAATATTTAATTTATTTAATAATTTTAATATTTATATTTTTTTAAATTTTTATATATATTATATATATTTTATTTTTACATTTTTTTTATATTATGTTTAATAACTCAAACTAGTTCTATTTTTTTGATTTGTATAAATTTATGTATATAATTTCATTCGGTTTTTATATCTTTATAAAAAAATTGCTTTGGCAAATTGTTGAGTTTTTTTTTTTAGAACATTATATGATTTTTATTTAGATTTATTTAAAAATAAAAGTAAAATTCTGTGTCATGCTACATATTTTGAGCAGAAAACCTTTTATACAGGGATAATTTTTATTGAAAATCATAAGCGCCTAAAACTCCGCTTTAGATTTTCGACTATTTATTTTTAATAGTTTTACGAACAATTTTTCTTGTTTGTACAGTTATTTTTTTTTTGAACACGTGAGGTGTGTAGAATTTGGTTATATATATTTTTTTAACATATCAATTTTGAATACAAATATTAGTTTTTTTTCGCATTTAATATATATATGCAGAATGATTTTTCATAATTTTATATTATTTTGACTGTCGTACTCACTCGTATCAATTTTTTTTATCAAAAAAATGTAGCCTTTTAATCTGGTTTTCTTTGGTTTTGGAGTTAGATAAGTGAAGCTTTCTCATTTATTGTGAATTCCGGGATAAAGTGGTTTCACCATCCACAGGTGAAGTTAGTTTGCAACATATATATATATATACATATATATTCCAACCTGAGGACTGCTTGTTCCTGATAAAAAGATCTCCTGGTTTTACCACAATATCCTTTAAGAAGGATGAAATAATTTGTTTTATAAAATATATATATACATATATTTAAAGAACTTATTGCAATTCTTACCCGAGTGTAAAATTTTTTAATATCAAAAATATTTTAATAACGTCAACGTCAGCTATGACAATTCATGGATGATATTTTTAATTGATTTTAATTAAAATCTGTATATAATTTCACTGGTTCACCATTTATTTTACAGACTTTTTGTATTTATTTAACGGCTATTATGTACTTCGTGGTGGTTTTAAGTATATCACCTTCACTCTGACAGTCTATGACTTTCTAAATCGTAACTTCAATGTCACTTTCAATGAAGGTCAGAATGCACATGGTGGAAATATAGTGATATACTGTCACTCAAATATCAACCATGGTGGATCTCGATATTTTTTATCCTTTGTTCTGGGTTTAATCTCCAGATGGCGCTAAATTACATCACTTGTAAGAATATTTTCAGTAGTAATGTATATTTGGTGTATACCAAAATAGTATTCAAGTAGTTTACTACATAATAAATTGTATTCATTATTATTTTTATTATTTAATCAAAAAAATCAAAATTTGATTCATTCGATAAATTGTACATATTTGGTTTGAGGATTGATCGTACAATTTATGATCAGGCACAGTTTGAAAGACATTGGTAGTTACACCATGGTGTAACTTCGCAACATGAAATTGAGTCCCTTTACAACACTGGTAGGCACGAACAGATGTTTTTATTATTTTGTTTACCTTTTTACAACTTCTTGATGGAAGCGATAAGTTCAACCACATAAATAAAATTAATTGTAATTTGTTTGTGGTTTTTTGTGACCCAAATATATATAATCGACTGAGCGATAATTTTCAAGTGTGACCAATGCATAATTATGTGTGGGTATTCATACCCAGCCCAAAGGTGGCTGTCACAAAGTGCTGATTTCCTTTTGGGATATATAATATATGAACATGATCAACCGCTTGTGTCTTTTTTCTATATTAAATAAATTTACATGATTTTACTAACAATTGTTTTATATTTTTTATTTTCAGCCAATTACCACATCAAAAATGTCCACCCTGGAACTCTGTGAAAAACTCTTCGACACGAAGGACATCTATAAATTATTTCAAGTAGAAAAAACTGCCACCGAAAAAGAATTGAAGAAGGCCTATTACAAATTATCACTGTTAGTACATCCGGATCGTGTACCCGAAGCCCAAAAGAAAGATGCTACAGAAAAATTTAAACTTCTATCCAAACTGTATCAAACTCTAACCGATAAGGATAAAAGAGCTCTGTACGATGAACAGGGTATCATTGATGATGACGATGAGAATTTGGAAGGCAAATTGAATAATTGGCTAGAGTTGTGGCAGAAAATTTTCAAACCCATTACCACAGAAGATATTAATAATTATGAAAAATCCTATGTTGGTTCAGATTTGGAAAAGACCGACATCAAGAAGGCCTACTTAAATGGCAAGGGTTGTATTAATTATATGATGAATTCAGTGCCATTTATGAAGGTGGAAGATGAACCACGTATACAGGAAATTGTACGTAAAATGATCGATGATGGTGAGGTACCAGAATATAAAATTTTCACCCATGAACCGGAATTGAAACGTAAGAAACGCCATAAGAAATATGCCCGAGAATCGAAGGAGGCCAAAGAAATATTGGCTAAAATTGAGGCGAAAAATAAAAAGAAAGCTGAAAATGGCAGTGGTGGTGGTAGTTTGGAACAAGCTATTATGTGCCGGCAAAAATCACGTGAAGAAGGTTTCAATTCTCTTATGGATAAATTAATGGCCAAATATGGCAATGAAGATGATGATGAGGCTATCGATTTTAATGCCCTGGGAAAGTCACGTGGCAAAAAGAAGTCATCAAAAGGTACACCAAATGGTAAAGATAAAGTGGATACAACACTACATTCTGTGAAGAGTGGCAAGGTCAAGAAACGCAAGGAATAAATGCAAGAAGCGCAAGGAATATATGGGGGGGAAGTTTAATAAAATATTTTACAATTACAATTTTTTTATTCGCCTAGAGAAAATGCAAACAATCAAGTTCCAAATTGATTGATATTTGATATTTTTTCCATCTGCAGAATGTTATCTTTATTTTGTTGTAACAAAAATATTTCTGATTTGGGTTTTATGTTTCTCTATCTTGGTGTTTTTATTCTGGAATATTTTGTAAAAAACATAGGGGGCATATAATTAATTATTTGCACTGTACATCAGTAGTTTGTAGTCCGTAACGTAATAAATTACTTAATATAGAACCAAGGCATTTGCCCTAATATATAAATTTCATTACTTTTTTGTTATATTTTTATATATTTCCATTGAATTATTATTTTTTAATTAATGTCAAATGTTTTGCGTTGTTTGGCACAATAAAATACAAGGAAAATTATATCCATTTTTTATTCATATTAACACTGCTTATTTTGGACAGAAGCGTTCTATTGTCAGGTAAGTGCCTGTGGATTTTGGGCGGATATTTTCATATTCATCAGATGGAAGGAATTCACCAAAGCCGATTTAGAACAAATTCTGACCACCAACTACCCCAAGAGTTAGTCTGTTTTCCCATTGATCCGTATAGGTCTCTTTGGCTGTTAAAACAAAATCATTTTCAAACAATTTTCTAATTTGGTTTTTAAGAAAAAAATTAACATTTATTAGTTGTTGTTTTTGTTATTTTTTGGTGTATCACGTTTAAATTCCATCAAAGATCAAAATATTTTTTCTTGTTGTTATTATTTTAAAAACGGACATTTAGTTCATCTTTCTGCTATTCTGTATTATTTCTGTTTGTTTGATTTTTGCAAGTGGTCATCTTGAGAGTACTAGAATACGGGTATAATACAGAGGATACAGTCTCCTAATTCTCCCAAAAAAGAATTTATTGTTCTTACATTTATGCTACATAAAATGCATTTACAAAAAATATGGGATTTTAACATTTGGTTTATATAAATATGAAATACATATAAAAACACGCCAGAGAAATAGAGAGGGTCGATTCTCACAACATCTTTTCATTACAATTATATTTCTTCAACAGGATCTTCCGCAACGTCGTCATTGTTATTCCCATCATCATTAATATTGAAATCGGCAAAGGAACGTAATTTATTTAATTGCTCATAGAAATGTGTTGTATGCGCTACAGCATCTGGAGGTACATTGAAGAGAGGATGTGTGGGTTGTAGTTCATTGACTGGGTCGCCTAAGACTGCAGGAATTTCAGCGGATTCAGAATGTTGAGCAATGGCAATACCGCTAAGGGTGTAGCAGGTGTGATATAGATCTTGGGGTCTAAAAAATAAAACAAATAAAGTTTTGATTATTTTTGGAAAAATTGCAAGGTGGCACCACTTACTTTCCCGGTTTATCTATAAGACCACCATTCGTCTTTTGACAACAAAGTAAAATATACTCTTGCAGGGCACCAATATCGAATAGCGCCTTGGCCAAAGGTTTGCCATCATTGTTCATAATAGCCTGGGTAATGGGTATCGTAGCTCCAACCCAAAATGAATAACAACCATCAACCAATTTATTGGTACGTCCCTGGAAACCACCCTCATAGGCCATTTGTCTTTGTAAAGTCCATTTCTGAAAATAAAAATGAACAACAATAATCATTAGAACATGTTCGGTGGGCAAATAAAGGAAGAAGTTATGTTTAGGATGGTTTATTGCGATTACAGAGAAATATTTCCCGGCATATGGGTCTCCAAAATTTCGTATTTTCCCACTGAGTCTCAACAGGGCATCTTTATAGGGGATATGAGAAAAGGTGTTAACGGAAGAGCTGAATTTCAGGAATGACTATTTAATTATATGGTATCTTAATATCCAACCTGAAGTTCAGTGGAAGACGAAATGAAGTCAAAGAAGTCTCTATAAAGAGAGTCAAAGATACTCTCTTCGTTTTCTTTCAGGAAACATATTGCACTTCAGCTTACAATCTTCCCTTAAGATAAGCTCGCCTATAAAAAGGCTCCCTTCAGCTCGCTTAAAAAAGGCTCAGCTCGCCTATAAAAAGGCTCGCTTCAACTCGCCTATAAAAAGGCTCGCTTCAACTCGCCGATAAAAAGGCTCGCTTCAACTCGCCGATAAAAAGGCTCGCTTCAACTCGCCTATAAAAGGCTCGCTTCAACTCGCCTATAAAAGGCTTGCTTCAACTATAAGTCTATAAAGACTTCCTTCCTTCCTTCTGCTCGACAGAATCTTCTGAATTTTAATAGATTTTATGTGTAGCCGACATTTATCTTATAGTTTATCTTATAGGCAGATGACATACATCCCTAGACTTATAGACCTTTAAACTATTCCAAATTCTATACATACCAACAATTGTTCCTGTTGACATTTATGACCCTCATTGAGCAAGGCCAATGCTGCAATACCACAAAATGTATAACCCCCGTGGGCTTCTAAATCGGGCGCCCCACCAAAACCACCTTCATACGTTTGACAACTTGCAATCCAATCACCAGTCTTATCAAATAATTTCTTTATAGTTTCTTCGGGCATATTTGTTAGCTTAGCCACTGAAACGGCACAATAGGCACCTCTCACATCAGTTTCACCATCAACGTGCAGACGAAATGAGCCGTCTGGCTCACGTACTGAAAATAAAAATCTCTCCAACGAATCACGGTCAATGGCGCGAAATGCACTCGGTGTACCGATCATGGCCAAACTGTTGACAGCGGCATATGTTGGTGCCAAATGTGGATATTGACCGGGTCCACCGGCAAATCCACCCTGAGGATGACGGCATCTGAATAAGAAAAACAATATTATTTTTCGGTGTGAAGTAGAGAAATCCTTTTCTTACTTTTCCAAAAACTGCACCACATGTTCCAATGTTTCTGGGGAAAATGTAAAATTTAGTACATGGGCCGCCTGCAGAATCCAATAGACACACCACGGCCGGCTGCTGTCCAAACACTCGTAATTCGGTGGCAAACGATGTAGCATACATTCTAGAAATCGTTGATGTTGCTCCCGATAGAATTTCGTTATCCTTCGACCATCCAAATAGCGTAGCTGCAGATAACGATCGAAACATTTTTCTATGGAATTCTCGGTTTTTTGCTGTAAATATTTCGAAGAAATTTGTAATTTTGTGGAGCAAAGGTAAACAAATTGACCCACCTGTTCTCTGGAGGTGACAGTTGATACTTTTTCATCGTCAAACTTAAATGCTTCCAATTGTGTAAAATCACGAAAATCTAGCAGTTCGTCTTCCATTGTTTTTATATCTTTTTATTTTTTGCAATATTTATAACAAAAACAACAAAAATAAACTTAACTTCAAAGAACAACTAAGGAGAATCTAGTAATCAGTTGTTTTGTTCTACAATGTAGTTCAATGGCCTGTATTCACTGAAATGAACTATGTGAACTTTTAATTATAAAGTTTGTTTATGTTAACAGAAAATAACTTGACTTTCTGGAGTATTTAATTATTTAATAATTATTTTTGCAATAACAGTTAGTATGGAGGGCTTATATAAGCTATTCTGTACCCCGAAGTCCCATAGAAGGTCATCTATGTAGACAAAATGAACACTACTCCCAGAATGTTTGGTATTAAAAAATGGAATATATTGGTCCCAGAAAATAGTCAATCTAGGTCTATGTATTTCCAAATATAAAGTCCTCACCCTATTTAGGTGCGGATTCTTATTAGATAAAGATTGTTCTTGGCATTTCCGTTCCTTGGAGGAAGAGAAACAAAAAAATTGTCTTTTAAAATATAAAGGAACACATCTAATGCTTGGCCCCGAATCAAAGAAATGCAACCCTGTTATAACCGAGAACGTAACTACAACTGTGGGGTATTTATACGGGGAACATTTTTGTTGTCTTACGTGAAAGTATGTGTCATACGAACACACTCTCATTTTATGTGTGATAATATTCCCATTGATGGCAACATGGCGCCGTGGCTTAGTTGGTTAAAGCGCCTGTCTAGTAAACAGGAGATCGTGAGTTCGAATCTCGCCGGGGCCTAAATTAATGGTTGTCAATGTGTGACTGGCAACCTTTTTTACTTTTTACCATGGTTTTTTTTACATCTATATTTTTCAGTATCTGTTTGATTTAATTGACAACAGAAAATTATTAATAATAAAAAAACGAGGAAAGAACAAGAAAAATGTGAACGTGGGCAAATCGAGATGTACAGGAGTAAGAATGAAGTCCGGAAATTTTACCAACGAGTAAAACACCAAACCAAAGGCTTTGGTGCAGGCACATCCTCCTGTAGAGATGAAGAAGGAAACCTGGTGACAGATACAGACATCGTGCTGAGGATCTGTAAGGAGCATTTAAAAAAAAAACTTTTGGTATCAAATAGTAGCGGTGAAGAGGATACCCTAGAACCAATAATAGATGACGGTATAGAGTGTATATCACCTAGCCAAGATGAGGTCAGAATAGCAATAAATCGGCTGAAGCGGCAGGTGCCGATGGGTTACAAGCCGAACTATTCAAGACAGGTGGTCAGATGCTCTGGAGTATGCACCAGCTGATTAGTACAATTTGGCTAGAGGAATATATTCCCAATGATTGGAACCTCAGCATCCTTTGTCCCGTCCTCAAAAAAGGAGACAAGACGATATGTGCCAACTATAGATAAATAAGTCTCTATCCCATCGCATAAAAAATGCTATCCAGCGTGCTGTGTGAATCACTGAAACCAATGGTCAATGACATTATGGGGCCATACCAATGCGGCTTCAGACCTGGCAAATCGACCATTGACCAGATTTTCACTCTGCGCCAAATCCTGGAAAAAAACACATCGACACAGTCCACCTATTCGTCGACTATAAAGCCGAATTCGGCAGCCCTATCCGTTAAGAGGTGTATAAAGACATGTGTGCGTTTGACATTCCTACAAAATTAATTCGGCTGAGCAGGATAACTTGAACTGGAACAAGATCAGCAGCTAAAGTCGGAAAGGACCTCTCGGAGCCCTTTAATACCCAACGAGGATAACACCCTGCTGGAAAAGGTCATACGAGAAGCAAAGGTGAACAGAAATGGAACTCTGTACACCAAACAACACATGTTACTCTCCTACGCCAATGACATCGACATAATGGGTCGAACATTGCGAGCGGTAACAGCCACCTTTGAACAAATTGAGAAGGAGTCTGCCAAAGTTGGTCTGGCAGTAAAAGGCGAGAAGACCAAGATGATGGTATCAACGCACAAGACGTCCAGTAGACTCGGACCAACTGTGGAACTTGAGAACTACAGCTTCGAAGTATTCAAAGATTTTATATACCTTGCTACGGCCATAATTAAAACTAAATACATCAGTTTTGAAATTCGGAGAAGGATAGTGTTGGCCAACAGATGCTACTGTGGTCTGAACAAGCCAATAAAAAACAAGGCCACCACCCGCCAGACCAAACTCACACTCTAACAGACACTAATACTACCCATGCTGTTATATGGGTCTGAAGCATGGGTACTTACGAAGGCAAATAAAGCAGCTCTTGGAGTGTTTGAGAGAAAAATTTTCGGAAAGATCTATGGGCCGATATGCGTTGGCGGTGAATATCGCCGTCGAATGAACCATGAGTTGTACCAGCTATTTTTAGACATCGGCATTGTTAGACTATTGAGCTACAGCGACTACGTTGGCTAGGTGATGTTGTGAGAATGCATGAAGATGCCCCAGCCCAAAAGGCATATAAAAGCTAACCAGCTGATGGTTCACGCAGAAGGGGAAGGCCGCGCAGGAAGGGAGAGCCACATGGTCTTTATAATTGGAAAAACTGTCGATGGAAAAACATACAATAAAACATTATTCTGGTTGATCCTGCCAGTAGTTATATTCTTGTCTCAAAGTTTAAGCCATGCGTGGTTAAGTACCCACTAATTAACAGTGAAACCGCAAAAGGCTCATTATATCAGTTATGGTTCCTTAGATCGTTAACAGTTATTTGGATAACTGTGGTAATTCTAGAGCTAATACATGCATTATAAACAGGGACCTTTGGGACGAGTGCTTTTATTAGGCTAAAACCAAGCGATCTTTAATCGTTTATATGGTTGAACTCTAGATAATTTGCAGATCGTATGGTCTCGTACCGGCGACAGATCTTTCAAATGTCTGTCCTATCAACTTTTGATGGTAGTATCAAGGACTACCATGGTTGCAACGGGTAACGGGGAATCAGGGTTCGATTCCGGAGAGGGAATCTGAGAAAAGGCTACCACATCTAAGGAAGGCAGCGGGCGCGTAAATTACCCACTCCCAGCTCGGGGAGGTAGTGACAATACAGGACTCATATTAGAGACTCTGTAATTGGAATAAGTACACTTTAAATCCCTTAACAAGGACCTATTGGAGGGCAAGTCTGGTGCCGGCAGCCGCGATAACTCCAGCTCCAATAGCGTATATTAAAGTTGTTGCGGTTAAAACGTTCGTAGTTGAACTTGTCCTTCATAGGGTAGTACAACTACAATTGTAGTTTGTACTACTGGAAATCTTTTTTAAGCTCGACTTATGGAAAGTTCTGTCACAATCCAGCTAAGTAAGTAAGTACTTTATTCAGTAGAGTTCTATCAATAATTCGGTAAACAATTTTCGATTAATATTTTTCGTATACATATTATTATTATTATTTTTGTGGAACCTATATGTATATTTCAAATAAAAAAAATTGCATCTGTCAAAAAACGAAAAAACATTGTTCCGCTAATTCCAACAGTGTGGTTCTAGTCTGTAAATATTCAAAAAATATGTACTAGCTGCTTTCATTGAAGCACCAATTTGCTATGCAAATTTCGAACTATTTAATTTTTTTGTTTTGTAAAATATTAACTTGAGTAACGTACATATTTCATTCACAGTGAAGTTGCCACCCATCCACCATAGAGGGGAAAAATGTAATTGCAAAATGTTTTTTTTTTCTTTTGCATGCAATAAATTGTCATCCTTTGGCATAGAAAAAAAATAAGAAATAACAGGAACAACATCAGCAGATGGAGGTTAAATGAAAAACGTGTATTTATTAAAATTATTTTTTTTTTGTTTTTTGAAATTTGCACCTTTTGCCATGCGACACGAAGAGTCTGCCCCAAGAAGAATACATGGTGCACCAATAAATTGCAACTATGTACTTGGGCCATATTTACCTGGGTACACGAGCAAAACACTAATTTTATGAGTTTTCTATTCAAATTGACATTTACTAATGTTTACAGGGCGAGTCGAGAGAGCGTAAGAGAGAGAACATACAAATTATTAACATATTTAATTAAGAGAGAAAAGAACTACAAACTAATTTTTTTAGGGCAGTTTTTTTGGGTCATTGCGCGTGTCCACTTACATGCAGATCCAATGCGGCTTTTGTTCCTCCACATGCTGATGAGTTATAAACAATGACCAACAATTAGCATAATCATTGTTATTGCATATTATTTACCTCTTCATATTCTCCTGCCACTTCTTCATCTTCTTTTTTACCCCCAGATAAATGCAAATATTTCTCACCCCATTTCCCTGTGGTAAATAAAAAAATTATTGCATGCTATTAGCTGGAAGACATCATCCATCCATTCAACTTACACGGGACATGATGGTAGTTCTGCAGTTTCTGTGTATAGATCTTTGTCTTAAAGACAGTGTGCGGAGGAATGGTCTTGCCAAGTACATCCCTTCGCATTATTTTGGCTGTGATGAATTGACCCCTTGTGCCAAATTTAATTATTATGCATATCATCCGCATTGTCTTCAACCTCATATCAGTGATAAATATCATTGACTTTGCTTAAGCTTTTGTGACTTTTGACATGGTTCTTTTATTTCATTTTGGGGGGAAACTTACCTAAATACCGCCTCAGGTACATGATACTTATAAATTATGAAAGCTCATATATTTTAGTGAAACAAATTTTACGCTTTAGCTAGGAGTTATTTATGCAAATTCTTTTGAACACCTTGTTCAAAATTCTTTGAACAGAATTGTTGTATTTACTTAAGATATGATCATTCGAGACTTTTTAGATAAGGGTCTAAAACGTAAAATTGAAAAAAAGGATTGAATACTTTTATTAGAACGAATTTCCAAGAAGGAAACAAGTTGGATATTGTCCTAGGGACCACTAGCGTTTGGAAGTGAAACTCACTCACTCACTGACGTGCTGGTTACAATTTTGTTCTGGCGTAAGCTCAGTCTGTGGGGCCGCAGTTGTTGTCAGTAATTTAGACCTGTTAGGGTGGACAA